GCTCATAACATGATGAAAAGTAAGAATATAGATAATATCTAATACAGTATCAGTATGAACAGAATGGTAAATGCAAAAGAAGTAAGAAGTCACTAAGAACTATTAAACACATTACACATATGTATATTGCAGTGAAAAGGTGCAACTATGCAAGGGTGCACAAAAGACCACTCATACATGATGAATGAATATTTATTGGGGTCACCACACCTTAAGTGTGGGTATCTCCCCATTAGGAGAAAAAATATATAAGATTTTATATGTTTTTAATACTTTCTTAAACACATAGGTTACAATGAAAAGGTGCAAGAGTGCACAAAGGACTGCTCATACATGAATTTAAAGTAAATATTCAATTCAATATGAACAGGGATGGCCCATTATTTATATATTTGGCTCACCACACTTGTGGATATCTCCCCTAGAACCAATTTAGAGGACCTTCCTGAAAAGCACTATTGGTGATGGAAGCTTTCCTCTGTAAAGATTTTTTATTATTATTATTATAGTTAGAAGAGTATATTTTTATGATTTTAATATTTTCTTTAACACATATATTACATGAAGTAAAAGGTGCAAGAGTGCACAAAAAACTGCTCATAACTCATAAGCAATTAATGAATGAATAGTAACTATTCAATACAGTGTGAACAGATGGCCCATGGGGTCACCACACCAGCAGTGAATATCTCCCCTTGGACCAATTAAATGTATATACAAATAATTTTTTTAAATTTTTATATTTTATATAACAGGCTATTACAATAAGGTGCAAGAGTGCACAAAGGACTGCTCATGATGAATGAATTATAAAAATTGAACCCATTTAACAGGGATGAACTAGTAATGAAATAGTTATACTTACATTCAACAGCTAATGTCTCTTGTACTTAACCTGTCTACTATTTGTAAAGAAAGGCAAGTCTCCTTGGCTTCTCCACAAACTTCTCCACAACTTCACTATGTAGCACATTGGCATCGTCTCTATGGATTGAAATCCTACAAAGAGAACTAAGGCGCCCTTGACTCATTCTATTTCTCAAATAGGTCTTTACCCTTTTCAAGCAGGAAAATGACCTTTCAACGGAAGCACTAGTTACTGACAAGACAACATTCATTTTCATTAATTTGACAGCTTCAGGAATACTAGATTGGAGATTAAACTTAAAAATATAGGTTAGTAATTCATTACATGTGTCTTTATGAAAATCCTGATCCCTGTAAATGAAAGAAAGTTGGCTCTCAAGCATGGAGATATCATAAAGGGGCCCATACATCTCTTTTAGTAAATTAATTTTCTCAGGTGGTACCACCCCACCCCAAGATGCAAATTTTTTTGGATTGACAAGATCTAAAAATGCATATTGTTTCATATCCTGAAACCTCTCATTCATCATACTAACAATGGAGTCGATAATCTCAAAATAAATTTGCTTATGGTTGTGTCTTTTCTCAAGTCTGCTTTCTGGTGGGCCCAATATATCTACTGCTTCTTGGTATAATTCAGAAAATTTATCATCACTACGAAGAGAAGAAACAAAGGTTACAAAACGCTGAATTCTTACCATACCATAGTTAAAGTCAGTTTGTTGGCCTTGCAGAATTTCATATAGGATTGATGATTGTTGGAAAATCTGTTGAAAAACACAGACCAAAAAGCAAAACAAAAAACTACTAATATATGTAGCAAACCAGTATCTTTCCCAATGATTCTCCATCCCAGCTCCCAGGCTCATCCACTTCTCCAAGAAAAATGTCATGAAGTTTCTGGTAATTTCTATGCAAGACACTTATCACACGAGATCGATAGTACCACCTAGTATCACCAGGGCTGGGGAACTCTATTTGATGAGAATTAAGAAAGGCTTTTCTTTGAGGGGCATTACTAGTAAAAGTACAAAATGCTCCTATATCAACAAAGAAAACTTTAACAGGGGCTATAGATGAGGCAGACTGACACAAAACTAGATTTAATCTGTGAGCTGCACAATGAACAAAGTATGCAAAAGGATATTCTTGACGCACTCGAACCTGGACACCACTAACATGACCAGACATAACAGCAGCACCATCATAGGTTTGCATCACTAATTTATCCTTGATGTTGGAATGGGGACTAAGCTTATCCTTCACAAACTGGGATATGGCAGCAGCATCTCTCTTTGTGCTGACATCTCCAAATCCCAATTGTCTTTCTACTATCTCACAACCTTTATCCATACGGACTATCATGCTTACCTGTTCCTTAGTTGAGACATCAGAAGTTTCATCAACCTGCACACTGATGAAGGTACACTCGTTAATCTCCTTAAAAATAGTATCTTCAATAATGGAATCAAGGCAACAGATTAAATCATTTTGTATTTCAGGAGAGACCCCAGTGAAACGTGAATCTCCACCCTGACCAGATTCAGCTAGTCTGCCATGCAATCGTCGTTCAAATACGAATCTAACTTAGCATAGGACTCGAGTAACTCCCTGTAATTACCGCGGTTCAAGCTATCTTCAGATTCATCATGGCCTCTAAACGCCAACTCCTGTTTGGATAAATACAAAACAGCCTCGGTTATGGTTTTTAAAATTTCTCTGTTTTGCCTTACCTCCTCATTGTGGCGTTGTATCTCGTCTCTTCTTGCTTTGGAGATAAGAGAATCCACTCGAGCACCGGAACCGTACGTCTTCCAGGTCTTGAAAGCAGCCATGTGTGACTTCGCCTTTTCATGCTTTTTGCAATCAGAGAGGAAGCCATGCATGTCGCTATAACCATTCTTGCTACAAGTCGGCGACTTTCCAGGGCAAAACAAAAGACACGGCCAGCAAAATAATCTTTAACTCTGTGCTGCCACAAAGCCAATCCTTCTTTTCATACCAAGCCATTTGAAAAGATCTCCCTCTCGCACTAATACTCAAATTCGGCATTGGCCTTTGCTTAACAATAACATTTTGTTCCGCGGTTGCTCGAACAGAAAATGATTTTCTTAACAAAGAATTTATGATATCAGCTTCAGTTGAAGCTAGATTCGTCACGCTTGCTGAAGCCATTACAAAAACACTCGCTCAAAGACAATAACTATGCAAACTACGCTCAAGTGTGTGTACTCACGCGGAAATCTGGCAAGAAAAGGCAATACAATATGCAGCTCCTGCCTTGTCGAGATAGCAGGAGTGCGGAGTTGTAACCAGCCAATTATGAGTGAGTAAGAGGCCATTTATCCAATCAGAATTGAGTATTTTCTTCTATAGAATATTATAGCAGCTCCTGCCTTGGCAAAATAGCAGGAGTGAGCCATTGATCTATATATATATATATATAATTGCGGAATTTATAAGGCTTAGGCTTCAAAAATATTTCATAAATTTTTTTGGAGTGGTTTTTTCAAAATTTTGGGGAAATTTTTAGTCCTGCTAGGCAGGACGAGCAGGACCGGTAGCTACGCCACTGGTTCAGATACATAGATAAGTCCTTAAAAATTGTTAATGCGAAACGTTTGAAACAATTTTGGACTTTTTGTTATGTGACTGTAAAATGATCTGGCAAATCAAGTAGTTTATCCTCAATGAAATCTTTGTTAAGATCCTTCTTCTAAACTAAGCCTTATGTTATCAGACGATGTGTGCCACCATCCCGGAACCTTACTCTCCTTTTTGTTCTGTTCACCTATTTTGCTTAACAAATTTCATTTCCTATCTCTTGCAAAAATGCTTTTATATATGTTTTGATCTGTCTTAAAATGTATTTAATACAATAAAATATTATAATATATAGATTGCATAATAAATCGACTTCGTTGTAACTGTATTCAACCAGCTAACTATAGGGCATTTATTCCATTGTCTATTGCATTAGAACATAAGACTAGAAAATAATATTTTATTGCATCAGTTGATATTTACTCGCCACTATAGAAGCTTTATTGCATTAATAATGTTTTACAGGCTACCCACATTTACGCATTGTGTACCTATTTTTTCAAAGTGTTTATCATGTATCATAGAAATGCCACATTTTTGTTCCGCTTTTGGATGCCATATAACTTGCTGTTAAAGGAAAATTTCCTCCCACTGGTAAGAAACTTTTAACCATATTTTTTGTGTGCTTTTTTGCAGACATTGTTTTACTATCCTGTCAGTTGAATTTGTCCCTTGTATAATTTTAATCACGAAGTATAGTGAGTTTTAAGTGGTTGGTAAATACTAAATAGACTTCGAGTTTTGACTTTTCGATAGTCAAAACTCAAAGTCTATTTAGTTGTTAGTACTTATTTTGAAATAGATTCAGGGATATGGTATCAGATTAAGTCAGAAAAGCCAGACACTCAGTGACTCAGACTAGTGTTTCAAGGCTAAATTCAAGCATTAGTATTGTGTTTAAAAATTTAATTCTTGTATTGTTAAAAAGGTGGGGTTTTAAGAAAAATTCTTGCTAAAAAAGTCTTGTTAAAGATTGGTCGTATTTCCGTATTTGCATGTTTTGAATTGAAGAATGACATAAGTATGTAATTGTAATACAAACTTAGCTAATATTTTCAAAATGGCCTCGAAAGAAAAACATGCTTCTGTCGCCACAAAGACAGCAAAGAAATGGAAATGGACGGATGAAATGTTAACATACATTAAAGAGTTTAAAACCCTCAAGGAATTCGAGGGTGTTGATTTTGAAGCAGATCTAATAGTACTCTACGAAGAAATACGGAAAGCAATGGCTGGTAGCTTCAACAATTTTGGTCCAGTTAAAATATCTGAAAGCACAAAACCAACTCAAGAAATGAATGAAAAGGAGTTAAAGGAGTTTAACGACAAGGTTAAGCTTGACAAGAGTGCTATTAAAAAAGGTTACGATCGAGTCTGGTATAAAATATTTTGAGGAAAAACTCAACAAAACTTATCTTACTGTACATGAAGTATATAGTAACTGCAATGTATCACAGTTATTCCAAGTATTCCTTTAGATATGCAGTTATTATTTGCCTTATGTATGTTCCTTGTGCACTGTTGTAATCTTAAAGCTGATCAATGACAGCATGATGGTCACAATTTTGATTTTGCTGCTCCATTTCAATCTGTTGATGTACAAGATCATTATTTATATTGTTGTTAGTACTCTTCATTTCACAATAGTTATGGAGTGTAAAACAGGCATAAATGATGCTGGGAAGATCATCCAATTTGATATCCATTGGTCTTGTAAGAATCCTCCATCTGGCTTTTAGGCGACCAAAAGCACATTCAATTAGATTCCTAGCTGACCATAACAACTCATTGAAAATTACCTGTTCATTGCTAGTGCATGAAGCATATTCCTTCATTACGTTTGGTAAAAGTGGATATGCAGGATCAGTCAAAATAACTGGGGGAACTTTATCTTCACCAGGCAAGAGTTCTTTCAGTACCAATGGAATCTGTTTATTTTGGAACATTTGGTTTACATCAGAATTTGCAAAAACCTGAGCATCATGAACACTGTCTGGCCATTTTATTTCAACATTTAGAAATTGTCCTTTGTGATTACATATTGCTTGACAGTTCAATGTATATTTCATTTTATAACAAAAGAAATCATGGGAGTTCTCAGTTGGTTGTTTTATTGGTATGTGTGTTCCATCAATGCAACCAAATACTTGTGGTAAACCAAACTTCTTGTGAAAATTCTCAATTAAATTTCACTTCTTTTACCACAGATGATAGTGTTGACTTGCCTACACCAAATGTATTCCAGGTCATCAAATAGGAGCCTTGATCCTTAAGATAATAAAGTGTCATTGCCACTTTTTTTTTCTCTGGTTTTAAGGCATCTCTAACAGCATTTGGATCCGGTTCAATATCTTTTCGGACCAGATTTACTAAGTAGAGAAAATCATTTTTCGTCATCCTTAAGTTCTTTTTCCATTCTTCAGCCAGATTGTTTCCACTCAGTAGGTTATCCCACCATGAAGACGTTCTGCCAGGGTTTATCCAATGTCTTTTTGGAGTGTAATCTTTTCTCACAGCCCTTAACTGTAGCTCTCATATCAAATGGTTTGCATCAACAACGGCTAACAAAGCTATTTGTTCATTTTGCCGTAGAGCAACAATCAGAGTGATATTTGTTAAAATCGCAGATAGTAAAACAATGTTTGTTTGTTTTGAAAGCATAATTGTGCTCACACCAAAAATTATCAATTTCCTGCCACAATTTTAATGTCCCACGGTAAAATTGACCCGGGCTTGTGTGAACGAAAATAAATTTTGTCCTGGGAAAATTTGCAACCCGGGGCAACTTGTTGGTTCATGAAAACAAGGCCTAAGAGTAAATTTGGCACTGGAGGTGAGTGAAGGAGCATTAGGTTTGCATGTCACAAAAGTAATGGGTAACAAGGAAATTGTAAGTATGAGGGATGACTCTGGGGCAGTAACAATTGAAGGCAGTGTAAGTACTGAAGACAGTGTAAGTATGGAATACAACATAGGTAATGAAGACAGTTTAGGTATTGAGGGGGTCACTGAAGAAATTTCTAGTGATGAAGGTGTAAGTATACTTGGAAGTAAAAGAAAACTTACAGATGAAGTGGTTTTGGATGAGGTAAGCACTGCTCCGAAAAAGGCTCATTACTAGAACATCTGGAGCAGTTAATCATGATCACACATCACACCAGTAAGTCTCCCTGCAGTTTGAAACAACAAGTCGATGATGTTGTCGCAAATTGACAAATTTGCAGAAGAGGTATAAAGTATCCAAACAAAAGACACAGCGCCTGAATAGAAAGGTTGTAACTTTGAGTTCAGTGGTAAGTGAGTTAAAAAAGAAGAGTCTTAAATAAATAGTGATTGTGCCTCAATCCTAGAAACAACCTTTTCCGGAGTTCCAAAGGAAATGATGAAAAGGTTGGTGTTGCAAAAGAAAAATGAAAATCCTGGTGCGTATCCACCCAAGCTAAGGTCATTTCCTCTGACCTTAAAGTTTTATTAGACGAAGGCATATAATTATGTTCAAAAAAGTTTCAAGTTAGGGCTGCCACGCGTATCTCTGATCCGATTGTTGTATACCTCAATGGATGGTGAACCTGGTTTCACGAAAGATGCCTTGACAGCTCTGAAAGCAAAGGTCCTTGCTGCAAGAAGAGATGGTAAAGAAGTTGTTTGCGCTCCCAACTTGGATGAGATGTCTACACGAAAACATGTTGAGTGGGATAGTAAGAGAGTGCATGGTTATGTCGACCTCTGAATGGGCATTGAAGACGACTTGCTGCCTGAAGCTACCAATCAATGCTCTTGTGTACATGGCCGTCTGCGCTTTTCAACTCAAGTTGGAAAATACCCTGTGGATATTTTCTGGTTAATGGACTCACTGGTGAAGAGAAGGCGAACTTAACGAAAGAATGCATTCGGAAATTGCACAAATTTTGGGTGAAGGTGATTTCTTTCACATGCAATGGACCTTCGACACACCAGGCAATATTGAAAGAGCTCGGTGCAATTCTTACACCTCATAGCCTGCAAGCGTATTTTGTGCATCCGTGTGACCCCAAGGCCAAGATCTATGTGTTTAGATGCCTTTGATCTACGTGTTTACTTGCCAGTCTGACCTGGAGTTGAGAGAGCCAGCTGCCGTAGATCATGACTAATGTGATGTTTTTGAACTGTCTGAGTACAAAGAGGCTGCAATATAGTTAATAGCTGGGTACGTTGCGAAAATGGTGTCGAAAAAATCCATTGCACCCAATGTGCAACGGTGCTGACGACGACGAAAGAGAACATACCGGACTTGTTCGTAACATGGAAGACGAATGGGGATTAAAAGCTACCATCACATGGGCTGTTTAAAGGAGCAGTGCAATAGCATGCACATCTTTTCTGCGCATAACAAAAAGGTATTCGGAAATTGTTGGAAATGACTCGACCAGGTGTTCGGAGCGATAGCCATCTGAGAAGCAAACACTCAAATAGAGCAAACAAGATTTGAGAATGGTACATAAAAATTTGCACTTATTTGCGTATATGTATATTGTAGAGCCGAATTGTTGAGTTTATTTTGTTCTCGTTTCTAAACAGACAAGCCATTGTGATTGCAAGAGTTCTTGCAGTGTTACTCGTCAATGGGACTCGAGGTTGTCCTTGCAAGGGGAATTATGTGACATGTTCAGAAGAATGTAAATGCCCAGGTATATTTCCCTGATAATTTTCATACTTTTATATGATTTGGTTTGGTCAGAAAGCTGGCTATTCAGAGTTTACGGAGAGGGATAGGCAGTATGGATTACATACACAGCATGATTATTATGGAGGATAACCTTGATGAAAACAATGAACTTGGGGAGTTTTCAACAGAAGAACCAGCTACTCAAGGACCCAGTGACTTAGAAAACCAAGAACCAGAAGATGATCCAATGGTGGATAGTGTAGCAGATTGGTGTGTTTGTAGCAAATGTTGTCCTATGCCACAGTGCTGCAATTTGATAAAATGTATTACACTGTCTTCTCGATTTACAGAGTTGTGCCTAGACCCTGATGTGCTAGAGTTGCGCATCAGGAATACAAAAGACATCAGAAATGACCTGTATGCCTTTTTATTTAGACAATTTTGGACCAATGATTATTCTAGTAACTTTAGGTTATATTATAAGACCATGCATTTATTGCACAATTTGTTGACTTTTTAATGCACAAATCAAGGAATCATTTTGCTATAAAAAGTTACACCACATGGAAAACAATTATGTATGTTTTAATTTGGAACGGTCAAAAATATTTACAGTGATATTATTTATTGCTAAATTATTATTCTATTATTATAATATCTATTTATATTTTATGTTGTATACTGTATTCCATTTATCCTGAGAGGTTACAGTCCATGTAAATTAGTACCTCTCAACAACACCCAAATTTATATCTCCAGCAGTTTCTGTGTTTGAAATTTCATCTGCCTGATGTAGAAATATGGGAGATACTGATAATAAACATGTTTGGAGGCATTCTGTACTCCTCAGATGTTTCCAGACCTAAAACAATTCACCTTGATCAGGCATATATTTTTCACTGTATAATATAAATACACCAATTTGTCAAAATGCTATTTTTCATCATGAATGACAACAATGAGAGATAAAAGAGACTACAAGGCAAAAATTTTAAGTGTTAAGTGTTATATTTATACAGTCATTGTATAATGCAACTTCCAGACACAGCCCTTCAGGTTTCTGTTTAGAGTTATGGCTAATAAAAATCTGGTCATGGCTAATACTAGTCTTTTCTACTGGGGCGCCGGCTATTAATGAGTTGAGCAAGTAAAATATAAAGCGGAAAATTCAACAAAAAAGTAACATTTTCTTATGTGTTTGTCACTACACAAATATTTACATAGACATAATTACATATAGTGATTAATCAACATAATTGTCAGTGTCTGTGACATTACTGTCTGAATGATCTTCAATTTCGTTATCATCACTGTCATTGTCATCAGACTCATCCCAAGCCTCTTTGTTTTTCAAGCTTTCTTGCAACTCATTGTTAATTTTCTCTGCCTCTTCAATTTCTTATAGCTCATCAATGTCGACAGTTTGTATGCTTCAGGATGCGCTCTTTTTTCGTACAATACTGATAAAGCTTTGAGGACACTTTTTGTGCTTTTCATTTCCATATTTCATAGCAACATCTTCCATTAACTCTTGGTATGCTTTCGTTTTCAATGTAGGTCCATTGATAGAAATTACGAGTAAAGCATTCAGCAGGTCACTTTTCATAGAGCTTCTGGACCTTGTCTTAATTCTCTTCACAGCACTTGCTCCCCTTTCTGGCCATGCATTAGTTACTGGGGTAACCAGAGCTATCTTTGCTATGCTGTAGACAAATGAAAACTGTTCATTGTGTCGATAATCTTTGACAATTTTCCTGAAAACCCATTCTGTAGGGGATAATTTTATACTCATATTATTTGATTCAACATTCTCTTTAAATTGCTGCTACTTGGTTTTCAATTGGAGAAGTTCATATTTCATGTCTTTCCATTGTTCCAAGAAGTAATTTCCTATTTGTTGTTCCTGGTAAAAATGCTTCTTGATTGCAATAACCTCAGATTGGCCATATACTTTGAACTCTGAAGTGCTGGCATCGTTTGGCACTTGGGTTACATCAAAGACCGAAAATGACTCCAAGATCGCTAAAGATTTGCATGGAAAACGGTCATCAATGTTTTTGCATATAGCCTTGGAGTATTTATTTATCCGTTCTTGTATGATTTTCTTGGATCCATCTCCCATTACTAAATTGCACAATTTAAGTCTGGCTTTCAAATCTTGATTCTGCAAAAGTTGAGATTTCCGGCTTGAAAAGTGCGACTTAAAGCTGATAAGTGTGGTAGGATGAATTTCAACAGATATAAAGTGCCAAGAAATTCAACAGAGTTAATCTTCTTCAAGAGCCCTTTAGCAATGGAACCAGAATTTCTATCTTCTTGCATTGAATGTAGAGCATGAACCAACCCGACACATCCCTGGCTTATGGAATCAACAGAGGCATGTAGACTCAACCATCTAGTTCTAACAGCTTTTTTCACCTTTCTCACCAACTTCTTCTTTTGCCTTTTTGACATAGCATCGAAATGTCTTGCACCCAATGGCACTTTAATGTATACTTTAAGTCTTTTTGCAGACTTTTTGAAAAAGGACCACAAATCTAAAGCTCATTTCTCAAAATCTTGAATAAATTTCAGTTCATCACCTGTATCTGCACATGCAAGGGCTAGGCGGTGACATACGCAATGAATACTTATCATGGTTTCGCATTCTTTCAAGTTCTTAAATTTTGCAGCTACACCTCCGTTTTTTCCTGTCATTACACTAGCTCCATCGCTTGCAAAGCCTTTCAATTCATTGATATCTAAACCATGCTTCTTCAATAGCTTAACTAAGCATGAAAAAATTGCTTCAGCATCAGGAGATGAATTAGGTGAACTCTCCAGAAGATCTGTTGCTTCAATGAATTTAGTTACACAATCATCAATGTCTTCGTCAAAAAACTGAATAAATGACACCAGCTTTTGTATGTTTGATACATCTGTGACGTCATCAGTTAAAAGTCCGAATACTTCAGATTTCTTGATTTTCTTGATAATTTTTTCTGTAATGACATTGGCAATTAGTAACGCCATTTTTTTTAAGACAAGATTCTGAACGTGTTGTAAACACATCAATTTCTTTCACACCAAGCTCCTCTAAAAGGCCAAGCAAAGAAACCGTTTTTGCATTAGCCACTTCTTCCTTAGCTAACTAATATAGGGCTTTGAAAACTGCCAAGTATCTGCTGTTGATATTACTTTCTCTTTCTTTTTTTTTAGTCACAAAGTAGAAGTTGTGTTTTGATTTCTCTTAAAATGCAGCAATACTATGCATTATAGTAATACCTTTACTAGCTTCTTTTATATAACCCTTTGCAGTTGCTGTCCTCCACCGGGTGTTGGGCTCTGTGTTCCAGATTTTGGATTTGTTGGATGGTTGACATGTATTGTGAATTCTGCAAAGACCACAGAACATTCCTTTGTTGTCAATGAAGCATAACGACCAGATTCCGGTCTCTGTACAGCATGCAATGTCAGCATCTGTTAGCCATTTATGCTGGAATTTGTTATCCCTCCTCATTTTTGCTTTGTCTTTCTCACTTATATCTGTACAATTCCTCAACTTGCAAATATAATAATTATGAATGTGTTCTGGTTGAATATCATCTTGAAAATGATTAAGAAATGCAGTCTCTATCAGTTTAGCAAGCTGGTGACAATGTTCTTCTTCAGTTACAACATACAGGTTTAGACAATTGTTTCAAGCTGCAGATTTTTTTGTGTTGAGATCTTTGGTTTTTTTGGGGTAACTTCTGCTTGAATACTTACAAAGAACGCTTCCTATAATAGGCAGGAAAAATATGGTTTACAATTACTGGTATACGTTTTAATGTTAATTGCAGGATGTTTAACTGCATGCAATTTGCAAGAAGAATAAATAACAATCATATAACAACATACTTCTGAAGGTAAGGTTTACTTTACTTCTGAAGACTTATTGAGTCTAATGGAAATTTAACTTACAGTCCAATTGAAAGGGTTGTTTTAGTAGTTGATGGTTGGTCTGGACCAGGCAAAGACACCACATTAGAATTGGAAGGCCTACAACATAAATCGACCCAATCCAATACGTTCTCCAAGATCAAGTGTAAAATTCTTCCAGTTGGAAATTATATTATAGCTTAAGTACTCACTTTTTGTCAAAGAAGGCTTTTATTGTTGGTTAGTTTTGTAACTTTTGTTTCTTCTCTTGTGGCACTGTGTTCCTGATACAAGTAATGCATTTACTAATTTTCTTTGGGTGTTCTTCAGAGTATCCCGAGTGAGTTAAATTGACAACTCTGCTACAACTTGGACGATTACAAATGGCAGAATTACAATTTACGCACGAATAGAACGTATTGCTTGCACAAGATGTGCAAACGTTTTCCAACGACATTTTCTTTCTGCATTTTACAAAATATGAATAAATGAAAAGAATTTTAGTGATAAGCATAGTTTATTAAACAAAGATTTCAATATTCTTGTTTTCTTTGAACAGTACCTTACGAAAGAATCCAAAACCTGTGGTTTATTTTCATATATTTCCATATTTCGCGTCGGCCATATTGATTCTTGATTACGCAATAATAGCTGTATGCTAATATCCCAAATTATCCTTAATTTAACACAAGAAAACACAAATACTCTACAGAATGTACTACATAAGATCTCAAAAAAGAATTATAGCGATTTTCCGGGGAAAACAAAGACAAAATTATATATTACGTACATATAATTTATAGTAGGTCAGTATGTGTGGTAAATTAAAACTAAAAATTTCAAATTGACAACTTATCATGACTGAAAGCGCTAGCGAATTGTTAACAACGCCTGGCGAATGGCTTAATTTTTTTTTCTCAGCCCAGGCAAAATTCGCCGTTCGCCGGACTTAAACAAGACGGGTGCAGACAGCTGGACATTAGCAAGGAGTTCATGTATCAAAGCATATACAGAAATTGGAATCTATCTTGAGTAAATTCGTTGCTTTTCTCAATCGTTTTGCGCTTGTTTACAATTTTTCATGAATTTATAAGATATTAATTATTAATACCTTGAGTATAAACATTTGCATCTTGTTGCCTGCCTTCACTTGACTTCTGGCCCTTCGACTTCTTGATATCTGATCTAAAATAGTTAAATTACACCCATTTGAACACTTTCATACCAACATCTAGCCCATTTAATCCAGATAAAACACATAAATCACATTAATCACACCTTTGATACTCTAAATAGAGCTGATGTGCTGCAAAATCGTTGTCGCTACATGACTTGTATCCAGCCGCGATTTTCGCTTCATTCCACGTTTTAAACATGTTGACAAGTATATTTTTTTTATCTTCCCTATTCCAAGCTTTTTTTCTTTCATCTTCACTAGAATGGCTTTTTTTTCCACCCTGAACTTTCGTGTTGGCTTTCATGCGCTCCAAATGTACATGCCATCTTGTATGCATTAGACAGTGCTGGAAATGTGTGAAGAGCACATGTTTAGCACGTTGGACCAACATATATTTGATTCGAGTGCAGTGGACAACCATCTATTCACTCTGATAAAGTGCTGTTCTCAGAGTTATGTCATCATTCGAATGCACCATTTATGTAAGTTAAGCAATGCAAGTATGCATGAGAAGGTAATACCTAAGCAGTTTTCAAAGCTTGTGTTATTCAAACACCAGTAAAGCTGACAAGTGACCTGGGCACAGCAGTGGTGCTTTCGAGGTTTGCCTGTATGCCTTGGAATAGAATGTCAATATAACTGCATGGATTTAACCTTTTCACTTTTTTATGACGTAAAATCAATCCTTCATTTTCCGTTACATCTTTCAAATTTATTTTCAATCTTTACAAAGTTAGAACAAACCTTTGACTATAAAGACAAACGTTGCTTATATTTGTAAACAATATTGTTTATATCTGCAGCCTTGTTTCTAATGTTTCAGTTATAGACATTGTATTTTCAAAAGGTTGGGCGTATCCTGGCACAATCATTTGTGTTTCGAGGAAGTGTGCTTTGTTGAGAGTGCATTGTCAACGGAACCTGCACATTTTAGATGTGTCTAGGGGTTGACAGAAATAATGTGTATGCATGGTGTTCGATAACTAGACAAACAAATTATATATTTGAAATTTAATGATGTCCCTAGAGGTAATATTACTACATTTTTGTTTTCTAATTGTTTTTCCAAAATTTCAGTTCTAATGTGTGTCTTTAATTGTGTGCTTTTTATCCTGCCTCTAGTTGACTCATTTTTCCATAAACTGTTCCTGGCTTGAATTTGAAGTTTGTATAATACTACTTGAAATTAAGACCCTTTAAACCACTAGAATATTCCTGCATTGAGTGAAGTGCCAAAAGTATCATCCTGGCAAAAAACTAATTAAATTTTACTTGATTAACATGGTAATTAAAGTTTAATGTTTCATGGTAATTAATCTCAGTGGAATATACACAAGATGGTGAATGAATTTATCTTCACAACCTATTGCTGAAGAAAAAAGTTGTTGATGTATTAACATTATATTGCAACTGTTGTTACAGTTAACTTTGTTGTATTTTATCACGTGAGAGATAGCGGCCACAATATTGAGCTTCAGTGTTTAAAGGACATGCGAATGGTCATACCATTCATGTTTTTTGGGCAGGGTATACCAGAATATATGTATATTTATAAATTTATACATAGGGTGGCCTGTAACTTCTTCGTTCCTGACCAATGGCTCGTAGATTTTCAATCAAACTTCAACTTACAGTAAGTCTTGTTTAATTTTCTAATTCTACTTCACCATTGGTCTACGTCACTACGAAGTCACTTGAGATTTTAAAGCAATGACCATGAGCAATGCAAACCAGCATGCAAAACAGTAACTTTATTTTTAATCCACGCAACATAACAATAAAGTTCTCCAGGTGCAAAGCCTAGCCCAAAGTCCTCCAACAGTAACAGTATTGTCTACGTCAGAGAATATAAGTTGTATATACTACTCTTTATCAAAGGACATTAACAGAGCATGTCCTAAGTTTTCATCATTAGCTGTAATAATCAGCTTGTCATAAAACTTGCTGAAGGTCGAGGCATTTGTCCATCCTGCAGCATTCATAATTGTGTTCACAGACAATTTTGCACTTTTTGCTGCAGATGTAGCTGCAGCTCTCGTGCTATGTGCACTGAATGCATTAGTGTCGGTTCCAGAGTTGCCGAGCACTGTTCTTAGCCAACGAGCAATTGTCTCAGACTTCACAGGTCGGTGAGGTTTTTGGTAGCTGATTAATAAATATGTGTAGTTGTTACGAGGGGTTATGTTTTTTCCAAGTAAGTTTGAAGAACTTAGATACATAACTGTTTATCCTAATAGTATGATTGCAACACCAAGTGGCCCAAGTGATTTCTCGGCCGAAAGTCTTAAGTAACTTGTGTATTGTGGCAGAAAACTGACTAATATTTTGTTTACCACAGTACACTTCACACTGTCGCAAGTACATAGTATATTGCTTTCTTGTCCCATCCTGCCAGGATTGTAGAATGATGTTCACAGCTTTGTCTGAAAGGTCTTAACCTTTGAGTAACTGCCAGACACCTAACAAAAGAGTAGTTGTAGTGATGCGTTCAATGGATGGATCCATTCTGGTTCGGCTGGTAGATCTAGTAGCTTGTGCTGTCTAGGCAAAATGATAGGTTGTGCAACTAGCATATTGGTTAAATAAGGCCACCAAGATTGGGTTGGCCAGTGTGGTACAACAATTACTCCTGAAGCTTTATCCTCACAAATCTTACGAAGGGTCTTCAAAATTATTCTGAATGGGGGAAAAGCATAGAAGTGGAGGCCATACCAGGATATGGTAAAGGCATTACCCGCCTGTGCTCCCTGGTCGGGATGATAGGAAACATAATGTGTGCATTTCGTATTCCGGCGTGATGCAAAAAGGTCTATGTTAGGAGTGAAGTTACATAACTGTATTGCTGTCTCATATATATTAGGCCACTCTAGATCCGAACTGAGTTTTCTGGATTCTTGATCAGCAATGACATTTGCTACCCCTCCGATATGCGCAG